ACAGAATCAATATTTGACACATATGAAAGACCGAAGTATGTTTTAGTTTCATTGTGGATGTACAGTTGATAAAGCCACTCTCATAGCCGATCTCATGCAGTTTTATTCTCTCTGTGTCTTGCTGTCAGATGTTAGGTGTGCTGGGAGCCAGTCAGGAGTGCCCAGGTGAAAATGCCAGACAGCTTGCCAAGGTGGTGTGTGCTACCGTGCTTGCCGGAGAGCTGTCACTCATGTCTGCACTCACTGCTGGACACCTGGTCAAAAGTCACATGACTCACAACAGGTAAGAACTGTTTATTATATATGAATACAACATTCTAATTTATTATTATTGATATACTGTGTGTATATGTTTATTAAAATCTTTATCTAAAAATCTCTAAGCTAAAAAATGAGCTTAAAAATTAAATATATTAATATAATTCTATATATAATGTAAAAGATTTACCCCCGGTTTCACAGACAAGGCTTAAGCTAGTCACAGACTAAAATGCATGTTTGAGCGGTCTCAACTGAAAATATCTTGCTCTGACATATCTTAAAATATGTCAGTGTCGTTGTTCTGTGTCAAGATGCACACCTGTAATGTTTTCTTCGAAGGCGTTTTTGTTTTAGTTTTAGTTGCTTAAATATCTTAATTTAACTAAGGTCTAGTCCTGGCTTAAGCGAAGTCCTGTTTGTGAAACCGGGCCTTAATGTATTATTATTAAGTCATATATTAAGATGTTTATCTAAAAATCTCTAATTTCTAATCAGTTAAAATGATAAACATTGTAATATATTGTATCTTCTAATCAGTTTAATCCATGTAATCCTAATCAAATGTAATCAAATTACATTAAATCTTTAAAAAAATTACATAATTGAAAATATAACATTAATCTTTTAATCATGTATAGTTATATATAATCATGTATTACATTGATAATCATTATCTAAGAAAATAATCTTACAAATTATAGTATAAAATTATATTCTGACAATGTTTTGTAAGAAACTATCATCTGCAAACACCTGTATAATTGCTTTTTTTATTATTATTATTTTGGCTATAGATCAAAAGTGAATTTGCAAGAAGCTCCAGGAACATGTACTAAGCAGGCATCTTGAGACGTCACCTGTTGAAGATGCAAAAGGCCCATAAAGAAAGAGGATCTCAAGTTTAAGGCACATGTGATTAGTAATTTAGATTATTTTAAAGACCAGCAAAAGGAATACAGACAAATGACTGTTCATGGTTCCCCTGATCTGTTAAATGAGTTGTCTTATAACTAGACATTTTTCAAAGTAAACTGGTTGAAATTAAAGACTGGAAGCAAGACCAGCTGTGTTCACAAGCCTAGAGCCAGTATTTCTAAATCATATCTGAACAGAAATAGCTGTTTCCGGACCTGCTTTGTTAGGCTTAAATTGCTATGGAGAGCAAATCAGATCTCAGATTCACAGCAGCCAGTACATAGACATACAAAAGGCCACATAATTTAACTTATTTCCTAAAATCAATGTAGTTCATCACATACATGACTGACTGGATGGGTTAAAGCGGAGTACATGTTTTACTTCATTATTTGTTGGGGATAGCAACAGGGATCATATCTTTGCCAAATGGAAAAAGCAACATTAGACAGAAAGGGAAGGATAAAGTTTACTCTTCATTGCACTTATAAAGGGAAATGGCATAGGACAGTACCGATACAGAGAGGAGTTTAAAGTACTATGATTCACTAGTTGGTACACATGTAGAATATTACAGAATTACTACGAAATTGCCAAATGCAGCCGGCAGCAGTGCTCGCGATGTTTTCCGTGTAAGAATGTACATTGCTTTTTTTTTTCTTTTTTTTTTGCTATGACACAGGAATTGAATGACTTTTGTAACTGAAAAGGGTTGTGCTACGGCATGACGGCACAAATATTTCAATAGGTGCTACAATCCACATGTTTCAGTTCTTTGTTCATTTAGCTATTTCTTTGCGTTTGAACACCTCTAATAATGGATTTATGTAACAATACGCAACTTAACGCCTTGCATGTTTCCGAAGGCTTGAAATGGCGTTTATTCAGTTGGTTCTGGTTTTCGTGTCATGGAAAAGAGTGGCTGTTTAGACATGTACGTTTCATGCTAAAAGACATTGAAAAGAAGCTTCCGATTTGTTTTTTTTCCCCCCCAAAGGCACAATTCAAATTATTCAATAAATAATAAACTGCAAAAGTTTTGTATATTTTTTATAATAAAAAAAAGAAAATATAGAATTCATTGACTTCTGCTTGATCATATTCTCTCTCACTTGGGCAACTTCAACCAATTAAAATGAAAATGAAAATACAAAACAAACACCAAGAACATGGTCAAGGTTTAAAACTATTAAGTCCTGACAATATATATACATTCCTTCTCTACCAAAGATCAGCTCCAATATCTAATATCCTCATCCAGTAACAAAATGATTTAATCAACTTTCAAAAAGTTCAAATATAGGTTTTGAACAAAAGAGAAGGTTATTATAAAATAAGGATTACAGCCTTTTAAACCATTGTTTAAGAAAAGGGATGATATAATATTGTAGATACCTTATTAAACTTTTTGGAATTTTTAGAATTTAGATTAGCTTCTTTTCAATTCACTGGTTAACCAATTAAAAAAAAATCAGTTACACGAATCACATGAACAGTGAATTTTGCCAAAAGTTTGCACATAAGCATTAAGACTATATTTCCATTGCGAAAGTTAAAATTTTTTCCTCATGTGTAGCTAAAAATTGAGCTTAACTCTAAAAGAAAAAAGCCTAAGCACCAAAAAAGGCACCAAATGAATCATAGAATTAAAAGAAACATGTAGATGAACTATATCTATCAAGGAATTTAACCATTAAAATGTTCAGTTCTCCTCTAGCACAAGCTAAAAAAAAAAATAGTTCAGTACTAAAAAAAAGCACAGCTGTTAGATTTTGAGGTTATTTGTGTGCTTGAGACCTGAGGGTGGTGAGATGTTCGAGTTCTCCTGAGGCAGCGTCATTATAGGCTCTTGCCTCACCAGAGTGCGAGCCGGCCAATCAGCTCACCCTGCATCACATCTCACCAGGACACTGACTGCTGATTGGCTTAACCTCAGCGAGGCCTCAGACAGACCTGCAGGGATGAAACGGGCTTTACACACACGTTAATCTCAGAGCGCTAACCGTGTTACTCCTCCCCTCATGCTTATCTTGAATAGTAACCCTATCTCATGCACATGATGCCATATCGGCCCATGGGTTTGTCAGTCATCCGCGCTCAGTGTGATTGGAAATGTTCCCACACTGTTGTACACAGTACAGTGAGTTTATAGGATATTGAAAAATGTATTGCACTGTACAGTGAGATATTCTTCCTGTATGAACCTCAACAACACAGAAAATCATCCTTAAGTGAGATTAACAAACTATAGGCAGAAACATAAAAAGAAAACGTGAAAACTTTGCTTTTGTTTCATAAAATTTGGTTTCATTAATAAGTTGGCGATACATGTAGAAATAAGTCATTTACAAAACATTTTTTCTTTCCAAAAAGCATTCAACATTTGTAGATCAATCTCAAAATAAAATCAAAGTTCAGAAAGTTTCTTGTTCTTGCAGTCATGAACAAAGTGTTTCACACTATTAAACTAAATATAAAAGTGCTTGAAGCAGAACTGCAGCAGCAAATTTGTAGTGGCAGGCAAGTGACGCAATAAATTTACAACTTCAAATCAGGCATTCTGAACTCAAGTATCAGTATGGAAAGACTATGGTGGGATTAAAAAATAATCTGTTTAGTGCAAACAATGTTACAGAAAACACAAATTCAACATATTATGATGCATCATCTAAGAAATCATGACCTCAAAGGGATAGTTCACTCACAAATACAAATCATTTACTCAAGTTGTTCCAAACCTGAAATGCTTTCAAAAGAACAAAAACATTTCGAAGAATGTTGGTAACCCAGCAGAATTTGGTTACCATTGATGGCCATTGTATGGAGAAAAACATCTCAAAATATTTTCTTTTTTTGTTCCACTAATGAAAGTCAGTCGTTCAGGTTTGGAACAACATGAGGGTGAGAAAATGTTACATGATAGGATTGTCATGTTTGGATGAACTATCCCTTTAAGACTAGTGATAGTTAAAAACGTCCTTGATTCATTACCTCCTCCATATAGTGAATTAGACCACAGAAAGTGATATTAAACGGTGAAATTCCCTCTCTTTCATAAGCATAGATGGCACAACTGCAGTAATTCTACATAGATTTTGTAGATGGAAGCCCAATAGGTAGTGATGAACCAGAAGTGGAATGACATTGTTTAAACTGTTATAGGGCCCAAAAAGGCAAGTGTGCAATAAAGTGCCACCTATCTGCAGAAATTATTATTTTGGAAACTTCTGGAAAATTAAAACAAAACAAAAACAAACAAACTTAAAAACAAGAAATAAAATAAAATACAAGAGAAAAGAAAGGCAATTATGGTCTATTAAGTCACTAACAACTTTTCACAGGCCTACCAAAATACCCTATACTTTGATTATTGTCTTATACAAGCAGTTCCCAATAAATGTACACTTTGCCTAAAGCCACATTTGTGAATTACAAGAATCAAAATGTGTAATGCCTTCACATGTAAATAATCGTAAACATTTAGATTAACTTACTGTACAAAAGATCTTAAGACTGAAGTTTGACGTCATCTTGATCATCGGGGCTAGAAAGGGTCTTACTAAGAGAAATGGCTATTGGACAAGGCCAGTGAAAAAAGCTCACATACAGCTGAGATAATGCTCGGATTAGATCAAGGCATCAAGTTTACAGTATATATATATATATATATATATATATATATATATATATATATATATCTCTCCAAGACCAT